AATATTAAATTCTCAAAATAAACTATAGAAATAGCCTCATTTAATCCTTTCGTTATAGTGAAGATAAAGCCATCTTTAACAAGAAAATATCTACGTGTATGTATGTATGTAATAGCAACATGTTGCAATCATAAAGTGTCTATAGATTTAGAAATAAATAGTGCTTTCATACAAAGTTGGTGCAGGGCATGGTGGTGCATGCCCAGAATCACCACTCGTGGGCCTGAGGCTGGGGGGTCACTCGGACTCTGGAGTTAGGAGCTGTAGTACACTAAGTATGCTAAGCCAACTGAGTGTCTGCGCTAAGTTCAGCACCAGTTTGGTGGGCAGATCAAAGCTCCCATGCCAGTCAATGGTGGGATTGGGTCCAGGAGCAGCCAGTGCATTTCCAGTCTGGTAAGGGAGACAAGAGGGAGGAAGGGAGGACCGAGGATGCCCAGAAGATGTTACAAAATTAAGTTTAAAGAGTTGTGTATTTTTTTTAACATTTCAATGAACGTATAGGATTTATGACTGATATGTGAAATTTCTTCCCTTTGCCTTCCCATCTCTTTTGTGATATTTTTTACAAAGTAATACTGTCATCAAGATCATGGAGAATCCTCCCTGGTGAAACTAACTGGATTCTCTTGTTGGAGTGACAATAATGTCAACTCCTTTGGTGCAGTAGCGGAGAACTGTTGGCTCCATGAACTTCCCAGGCAAGGGCTGAGACCCTGTCTGACGTGTGCCTGAAACTTGGCTTCAAAGAAAACTTTGCTGACCTGAGAACTGAAATTTAGGCAATGGAGCCTGGATGTTAGCTCTGATAGCAACTGAAACCGCTGGTTTCAACCTGGGGACAGAGAAGATACCTATGCATGAGTAGACTATTTAAATGATAAGTTGTTATTATCCTAATAGCAGCATATTTTCATAGAATTCCGGTAGAGCCAACCTCCCTGGAATTAAACTGACGTTAGGTACAGTTAATGTTTTAGAGACACTTTGTAAAAAAACAAAAATAAAAAAACCCACACTTAATTTGGGTTGTTAGAATGACTTCTCTCACAATAAAGCAAGTTCTTTTAATATGAAGGAATAGATTTGAATTAAAATGTGAACTAGGGACTGAGTAAATTTATGATAACTTAATTAAGTTGTATGCCCTATATGCCCTTTCCTACCCTAGTCTTAGGCATCCAAATAAAAATCCCTGTCTGAATTTAGGAATTCTGTATTGCCCAGAAAACAAGGAAAATCCAATGGGCAGGACGCTCTGGGAAAGCTTGGCGTTGCTAATAGCACTGCAGCTCTTTTTTAGGCCTACTGACATAGTTGCTCAGGTAACTAAAATCCAAAAGTACACATAGTGTTTGACTAAAGCTGCCTGCCATATTACAGTATTTTACTGCTGTTCTATTGAACAGTATTCTAATCAGAGAAAGCACTTAATAACATAAAGGCCATAATGAAACACAGTCATTCTAGAATTTACAAGTGTGTGCTGTTTAGGTTAAAACTACCATGGTAAAAATGTGTTGGCACATTTTATTGGAACAGTTAAACTTAATCTCTTTGGTTCACAGCTAACTTGAGTTTGTAACTATTGGGATAGAAAATGGACTCAGAATTGTCTTTCTGCTATTTTTGAAACTAAGTCCTGGTTTAAAAACAAAAAAAAGTAATAATATTAAAATGTTTGTGGGGCGAATAGTTACCCTACCTAATGGCGTTTGGGGGAATACATACAGAGAATTGATGCTACTAATTGTCATCTGTTTATTCAAGTCATTTCCCTAAATAGCATCTCCAAGATCAATCAACAAATGTTTATGAAGACACTGGGCCAGGCACCAGGAGATACAAAGACAAACAGTACCTGCTTCCTAGGAGCTTTGTTAGGCTTCTTTCAGTAACTTTATGTCTTTAGCTTTTCAATTCAAACATTAAGGAATCCTAGGAAAACATCCAGTGCAGTGCCTTCATGATCCTGGGGCTTTACCTAAGTAGTTTAGCTCAGCGTGGAGTACTAAGCCTAGGTAATCCTGGTTTGTGTATAACTTTACTTGGCATACTGTCACCAAGCCTCAGCTTTGCCTAGATCCAGGTGGAACCCCAGAACTCTAAGATAAGGCCATTTTTCTCAGATAAAATTGCTTCTTGTCATCCTTAGGTAAATAAAACTAGTCCTTCCATGAAGTCAGTGGATTTCTTATTAAATAGGAATTTTTGTAGTCCAGTCTTGTGATTGCACCTGTGTAGGCAACCTCTCTCTCCCAATAAGATTAGAAACTAATCTGAAATTTAGAGAGTTGCCTAGGGCACTGGGAGTTGGCCAAGGTCACACAACTGGTATGTGTCAAAGGCAGGATTGGAGCCCAGGTCTTTCTGACTCAAAGACTGTACTCTATATCTACTACACAATACAGCAATATAGCAATAGCCCAAATGTTTCATGAATACACAGAAGTGCATTGGTAAAAAAATTGTTGCTATGAGTATATAAGATAATGTTTAGTAATAAAATAGTATGCATCTTATATTTATTTCATAGAAGAAAAACCGTTCTTTTAATTAACTCGGTGAGGGAATTGCCCTTTTTCTCTTTTTACATTTTGGAGTATGAAGATAAAGCAATAGCTAAGATGTTAATTTTTTTTTTGCATATATTTTCTCATGTGTTGTCTGGGGACTTGAAAACTATGAAATTAACCTCCTGAAAATGATTAATAATGCATGTTAGATGTATTGTATTTCATTTAGTCTAGTTGCAGAATTCAACCCTGAAATACATCCTCCTCCATACATAGATATATTCTGTGTGTCTATGTATATGTAAAATCTGTCTGAAGCAATACTCTAGAATAATCATGTGATCCCTATCTGTAATCTACTTTGTCATATTAACATCATTTATACAATGCTGTTCTTCATTTTGAGGCATACTCATGTGCATCGCAAAGTTGAAAGCCTTGTTAAGATGTAGATGAACATGTCTGCCATACCCCAGCCACTTTCTAGTATGCAAAAGTGAAAAGCTATTGAGTTAGCATAGTAAGATCTGTACCAGGCTTTATGCAGTCCTTTCCTTGGAGAGTTCCTAAAGTCAGTATCCTAATTATGTTTGCAAGTATTTTCTCCACATCAAAAAAATTGCCACCACAGATTTTCTAGGGCAAGTACTTTCCCATCTACTTTTTAAACTATGGAAGCCCATTTGGAATCCTTTTATTCACAGTCCTTCAGTTTTTGCATTCTGCTTTATTTCTTAAAAATTACTTGCCCTTTTTTCCTTCTGTTTTTTTAAAATACTTTAGTGGAGGCAAAAATGAATGATAAATGTCCTCCAGAATAAGGGGAGACACAGAGGAACACAATCTAGAATTTCTGACCTTGTATATCGAGTAGTTCCTGAATTATCAAACACTGACTACATTTTTATTGACTATAATTTTATTCTTTTTTTCTTCCTCTGAACCAATTTTTCTGTTTATGTCCCTTTTCCCTCATATTATATTTGATGTGTGTAAAATTGTTAACTTTTCAGTGTAATTCTTCCCATTTTGAACAGACGATCCTCTTTCTTTCTTCCATTACAGGTCTCTCCAATATACTAATTTGTAATACTTTCACAGATACTTCCCCACCCCCTCCTTTATTAGGAAGTTCCATTAGAAAATTCTGCTAGAAAGGACAGCTAAGTGGCACAGAGAATGGAGCTCTGGGCCTGGAGTTAGAAAGATGTGAGTTCAAATCCAGCCTCAGACACTTGCTAGCTGTGTGGCCCTGTGCAAGTCACTTAACCCTGTTTGCCTCTGTTTCCTCACCCTCTGTAAAACGAGCTGGAGAAGGAAATGGGAAACCACTCCAGTATCTTTGCCAAGAAAACTCCAAATGGGGTCATGAAGAGTTGGACACAACTAAACAACCACATTAGAAGAGGGAATGTCTCTTTCTAGAAGGTGTTTAGCATATACGCTAAATTTGTCTTTCGTATTCCTTAGTTTTGACTTCTCCAGATCTCTTTGTGCATGGTTACCACAGCTCCCCTTTTTCCACATAGACTGATCCCCGTGTCTGAAACGCTGCCTATTGAATCCTTTTATTCCTTCAAGGCCTGGTTCACGTACCACTTCTTCCATGAAGCCTTCCTTAATCATCTCCCTCCCTCCCTAAAGAAAAGGTGATTTCCTTGTCTCCCTTTGTGTGGATCATGTGTTTGCCCTTTTTGTGTTCTGCTGTCTATTGTACTTATTTGTATTGCTGTGCCACCTCAAAATACTGAACTGTGAGTTTTATGAGAGCAAGGACTTTCATCTTGTTTTGAGTTCTCCAGGTTCTTCATATAAGTTGTGCCGTGTTTCTCTGAATTTCCTAATTCATCATTTCTTGAGGTGCAATAATAGTCTTTTGCATTCATATACCACTATTTTTTCAACCACTCCCCAACCAATGGACGCTGATTTTGTTTCCAATTTTTTGCTGTCACCATGCTGCTTGGAATACTATGGTAGATATGGGAACTTTGTTTTTTCTTTCTTTGGCTTCCTTGCAGTTTTGAATGTTTTTCCCAACAAATACCTGTTTAGTTGAAATAACCCCTGACTACCAAGTTATTTATCCTGTCTGTCTTAATTCCTATAACAGTAATTTTTATTTCTGTTCCCCTTATCTGAAAGGCCTGTACAATTGCAACTCTTAAATTTCTTTAACTTTTTTTATATTCGTAGCTGTCTTGTTCTGTAGCACCACATTCAAGTAGCATCATCTTGTTTGTCCAGATTTGGTGTTTCCAATGTGTGCCAAGAAATTTTTCAACTAAGAGAAAAATCCTTGAATGTTCTTATAACTGTCAATGATGTAATTTTTCTCTCATTTGAATTCATTCACATCCATTGTGGAATATGAAATTGATTTGCTCCACACTTCATTTTGTGCCAGTTTTAAACACTTGGAATGTCAGTGCCTCATTATCCATTAGGCCTCCCATAACAACCTGTCATCCATTTCATTAGTAG